CTTGGTTGCGTGCAAGTTGGAGGCGCGCAACGCTACAAACTTAAGAATTTTGGTTATGCAGAAGGATTTATACTTAAAACAAATTAGTTTAAAATTTTACAGGTAGTTACATAATTCCTTTAAAACTTTGTTATTTGTTAAAACTTTATTGAAATTAATAGCTATAAACTTAAATAACATCACATTAAACAAATATCATCTTTCCTGAAAAATAAAACAGAAAATGATTTAACCCTTTGACGCGCGGTGGTCGTGCCTTGAAACCACCAATTTTCGAATTTTTTCTCCTCTTCTTCCCGAAATTTTTGAGTGAAAATCGATTGATTACTGATCTTTTACCTCTAAATAACACAAAATGACTGCAGAATCATATATGTTTTAGGTCTTAGTACTTCAAATCTTATGCCTTTTAAAATTTGTTTTCGATAAGACAAAATAACTTCCTTTTTATTACAACAAAATAACTTCTTTTAATATAAAACACTTTAAATTTCAAAAGTTATTCATCGCACATCACGATTTTATAATAAACTAAAAAATAGCAATATTAACTGCATAATAAAAAAAAAACTTCTATATGTAGGGCATTTGCTTTGTGGTTTCAGGGCGCGACCACTCTACTACTAGAGCATGATGTCACTGAGCGACCATGAGGCTCTAGAGCATTGTGTCCAATGCTCTAGAGCCTCAGGGTCGTGCCTTTGAAACCACTGCACTCACAATGGCGTTTGTTGCTTCTCAAATAGGATGTTTATTTTTACCCGGAATAGAGAAGGATTTTGAAAACCACAGATTTTTATTTAAACAATACATGCCCTGCCCAGTAAAAAGGTCTTTCTTTACAGACCTTTCTCTGACCTCAATACTCGCTCCCCAAGCTTACTCTGTGATTTTTAATAAGTTTTCCTGTGGTTTCAATTTAATGTAAATATGCTTGCTATGATTAAAAATAGAATCGCGTAAGGTTTTATTTAATTAAAAAATTTCTGAATATTTGGGATGAATATAAAAAATAAGTCCATGCTTTAACATGTCTAAAAAAATTTTCTTGAAATTAAAAAAAAAAAAAAAAAAACAGAATCTTTTTTTATCCTTTTACTAAGTTTTTTTATCCATTAGCCAACTCTATTAGAGTACTTATATTACTTTTACTGCACAGAAAAATTACATAAATGTTTATTTTAAAAATTTTTTTCTGACGATTTACTTTGTAAATATGTCAAAAATTATTATGCAATTCTACATAATTTTTTTAAAATTCGTAAATTTTCATCATTTATTGTAAACGTCACGGGATAAGTAAGTTTTTTTTCCACTACCTCAGTAACTTTCAAGTCCTAACACCATTGGTTTCTGGCGACCCCCCCCAAACAATGGGCAAGAGTAGATTTTTTTAATTCAATATCTTTCTCTACATCATATATTCATTTCTAGATTTTATTAAAAAATTATAAATATATGGCGTTCAAAGGTTAAAAAATCAAGTATAAAGTAATAATTATAGAAAATATTTCCTGAAAATCTATAATCAATATATATATTCAAAACATTTTATTATAGTTTCTAACTCACATGTCATATGCTAATGAGCAGCAGATTTACTCAGGATCCTCAGTAAAAATATGGGATTTGAAGATTTTTAAGTCCAAACCTGTTTTGCAGCTTGCTGTGGATCAGACAAAATTTTAAAAACTTTCAATATCAGCAGATGTTGCCTTAGATATGAGTAATGATTCATTATAGTTCTTTTACTTTTATGCTATCTTTTAATGCAGCTCTATTAGAGCAGTCAGCTTTATTAGTCATTGCTTCTACAATTCTTTATCTAGCAATGGACCACTAATTGGTAATGAAGGTAAAAATTTAAGCAATATGCTTAAAAAATTGATCCCTGCATACTTTCCTTTAAAAATTCTATAGCCTTTTCCTTTGACTATTTCATGAAGCAATGAAATTCTTGAATATGCAAAATTTTGATAATAATCAAAGATTAAGGAAAGTTTAAAAGAATGATTCAAACTAATCTTACTTTAATTTCTTCTTGTCTAATGCCATCTAATAATTGTCTTAATAATTCATGACTGTCTTGTTGCTGAAAATGCTGAAACTGTGGTGACCTAAGATTTAAAAAAAAAAAAAAAAAAAAAATTATTATTATATCATAGCAGTTCTTTCAGATGAAAAATTAAAAAAAATATTAATTATTCACAAAGATTGATTTCTCCTTTACAGAAAAGTTTAAACTTCAATTAATAATGATAAAAAAATAATAATAAATATTTAATACCATAATTAAGTTCAAATGATAAATAAAATAAATGAAAACTCTGTATATAAATACTAAATGAGGTGTTTGCTCAAAATGACAGCATGAAGTTAAAAAAAATACTAGTACTAGTGCAACCTGATAGTTTTCACTAGTACTCTGAAAAACATGGTTACTTCTATTTGCCTTAAGATTCAATTCAATTATATATATATATACAGTCAAAAGTCGTTAATCCGGACTCGTCGGGACTTCGGCGATTCCGGATTTTCGATTTTTCCAGATTATAGATCATCGTTTAAATCTGGTAAGATGCATTCAGAAATATAAATTAAAAATATGACCGTCATTTATGAAATAAAGAACAAGTTATGATCTAAAGGATATCAAATTTACAAAAAAAGCTTAATATTTATTTGTTTACTTTATTAAACATTTTTTTCAATGTAAGTTTTTAAGTTGCTTCGTTTTTTATGTGATAATACATTCTCTTTAATTCTTTAAACAGACATAATTTCTTTTCATACAAAGTTCCGCTGTTCAAGTCCTATATTGCTATGTCGAGAATCCCGACTATTTGTCAATCAATTTTTCGTTTTCAATAACCTCTGTCACTTCGCTATCGGAAGCGAATTATAAGGAGAATTTGTTTAAATCTATCAAGATGGAGTACATCGAGATGAACTACTATTTAATAGGATTATAAGCCAAATAAAATAAAACATCTGTCCTGAAGATGATAGTGCTGCCAATCAACTTCCATTCATTGCGCTTAACGTAAACAAGTTTAATAAAAACATTAAGCTTAGATAAACAAGATATGCTTTATCCATTTTTTGTAGCATCCACTTTTGTTTATGAACTTCGAACTACTTTCACTTTGTAGATCATTTACTTTAATAATAATATCAGAAATTCTATTTGGACTAATCGAAGTTCAAGCTTACTTTTATAAATTGCTCTAACAGTCTGCAAAAAATAAAAGCCGGATCCAATCAAGATAAGGACAACGCAATCTGCAACATTACTAATAGATATTTAAATAATTTTTAGCTAGCTTATACCATTCGTTATACATTAACGCGCATCTCGTAACGTATTTTGCACACGCGCACAGCATATTCCAGCCGTAATGCTTACGCGCATGCGTCAATGCTACGCATCACTTAAGTTGAATTTGAGTCCGATTATTGGTCATTCCTGATATGGATGTCCGAATTAACGCTTTGCTGTAATAATTATTTCCAAACATATTGATTAATTGATTATTTATCTCCTAAGTTTTAATTAAAGTAGAATTATTTTACAGAGTGATCCATAATGGTGTAATTTTTGAAAGATTTTGCGGAAATATTTGGCTGACTAGAATTGCCGTTTTGCTTTACTTTAACTCGAGTAAATACGAACCTTCCCGTATTACGTATTTTAGTATTATTGTCATTGACGGGAGTTGGTTTTTCCCCTTGCAAGTCAACTGATTTCCGATCAATGACAATGATTACATGTTTTTAATTAATTTTTCCTTTTACAATTGAAATTTTGTTCTTCATGAGATTAATCAGTCCCCATCAAAATATTATTAACATTTTACTTTCAAGTTCTCAAAATACACTTATGTAAATAAATTTAACAGTATGATTAACTCTTTAAATATTCTACTTAATTAACTTAGGGATAATATAATCATTAATCGTATTTTTGGAAATAAATTATTATAACTAACTTGTCAGCAATTGGCAAGTAGTATACTGTTTTCGCACTAATGAATTTGAACTACACAATAGATATATGAATTACGAAACATTTAAAAAACATGATATAATCATGCCTAGTATTTCATGCATTAAGCTGCTGAAAAATTATCAGTAAAGACATAAAATAAGAAATTTAGAACCAATTTTTCAGAAAGACCAAAAATTGAAATTCATAAGTAATAAATTTCAAATACTCCTATAAATGGGAAAAAATCAATAAATGTTAAAACCAAACCAATTCAAACAAGCAATATCCTAATTTAAAAAAAATCAATGAAATTTAAAGAAAAAAGAACATAACAGAAAAGAAATTCAATCAACTTAAATGGCACTTCATCAGGAGGAGGAACACGGAAATCAATTGAAATCTCTCTTCCACAAAATTCCTAGTTTTTTCTGTATCCATAATTAGTTGATTAACCATTTCAATTTATTTTAATTACAATAGCTCACCCAAAAATTCTGCTCCTCCCCAAAGCAAGGGGAAAAACAAAGTATATTCTAATCAAAAAAATTTTATAATAAGGTGAATTCTATGCAAAGAGTGGAAAATGTAAGTGAAATAATAAAATACTTTAGTGAAAAATTCAAATCAAAATTTGACCTTTAAACACACAGAATGTTATTGAAAACGTTAGTGAAATTATAAAACTTTAGTGAAAAGACTTAATCTAAATGGAACTGAATTAAAAACTCACAAAAACTAATGAAAAACTTCGAGCACTTTCAATTAGAACCCAACCGAAACTATGAGAATGATCATTACAGTTACTGACATTTAAGTTTGTCAGTTTGGCTTCATTCGTTAAACTAAAATACAGTTAAACTAAATTTTTTTATTTAAGTATTACAGAAAAATGCAGACTTGAAAAAGAAGTAAAGGAATTATTATTAGAAAAGTAAAAAGTCTTCATGTCATGGGCTTATTATGATGACTTTAAATATAGGAGGCCCTTGTTTTAATAATAATAATAATATATATATATACACACACACACAAAATACACTGCATAAGAAATATTTTTGAACTTCAGTTGATGCAAATAATATTATGTGTTTTCTATGTACCAATACTGAAGCCAAGTACTGTTTCTTAGAACGTGAATTCTGCTCCAAGATGTTTTTCAGCAAAGAAACAATACATATTATAACACACACTCAGCACTCCTAGCAGCTGTACGCTATTCCTCTTCCTGCTGTAACATATGTTAGATAAAAATGTAGAGTAATAATTAATATTGTGAAATGATTATACCTTATGGTCAATGAGATTAAAATGCACAATATGACATAATCCACAAACTTCTGTTATAATCAACATCCAACACACAGAACAATTTTAAATATTGCAAGACGTTTGGCAAAAACTGCTGGCATACAAGTCTGCCTTTGGTCAGAAAGACTTTAGAGCTATAATGGACGGGTGGGTGCGTGACAGAAAATTTTTTCGCACTAAATGAATTTATTTTAATTTTATGAATTTGGGCTTATGCTCTTGCACAGCCCCACTCAAATCAGTGGAATAAATGAATCATCTGAAAAAGAGAAATTCAATGCATGGCAAATTTTACATGCAAATGAGACACATCCATAACATCCAAAATTGGTTTAAATGTTTATGCCTGGAGATAAGTCCAAATAAATTTGTTTCTTGAAATTTTATTCTGAATAAGTAAGATGATATTCTATCATTCATAAAAAAATTCTTTAGATGGATAAATGTCAGTTTACTAGAGCAGACATTGCAAACTTAAATAATAATCCTTTCTCAGCCTTTCAAAAATCACACTTTATATATTGCAACAAACATGTGACTGGAGGTGTTTGATGCATGTTCTGAAACATACTGTTGATTGATTCATTAATTTTTTATAGTACTTTTGTACGATTTGAGTTAATTAACCCAAAATCTTAATTATTTGAACTATATTATCACTCCTACTTTTAGTCAGCTTCTACCTAAATTGGCAGAGCATGGTCTCCCCCCCCAAAACAAACAAAACAAAAAGAGAGCGAGAGAGACTCCAAATGATATGGAAGAGAACTGAGAAATTTTCTGATTAATGAAATATGAGAAGAAATGCTAAGTGAGAACGATATAATTGAAGTCTTTGTAATGACAATGCCCCAATAAAAATAAATAATAAATAGCGAAATTTGTTGTATGATTTTAAAATGAGAAAATATTGTTGTCAATACTGAAAAATGTCATAAATAAGTATCTGAGAATGAAAAGATTTTAGCTGACTACTTAGTACAGCAAGTTATAGGACTTGAACAGTATAACTTTATAATTGAAAATAAGTCATGTTTCTCAGTAAAATTAAAAAAAAAAATTTAAACATAGAAAATAAATCTTCTTAAATAATTTATGTGGAAAGAAATGCTTAATAAAACAGAATAAAATTACAACACTGAATTTTTATTTCATTTTTATTATTTAATTTTTGATTCTCTTAATGACATAAATGTTTCATAATTTCACAAGCAATCATTCATATTTTTAATTTTATAATATCTACATGTTACCTTAGAAGATTCAAATCAATAACTTAATACTGGACTAGAAGAGAAACACGCTAATGTGACAATCAAAATCGTAAAATACAACCTTATATTTAGCGTAGGATAATGAACACTCAATCGATTTCGAGGGCAGCTAAAGGTCCCTCCTCATAGGAGAAAGAAATACAAGAAAGAAGAAAATGGAGAAGGAGTCACAGAAACACGTAGTGCTTATCAGCACTGCACGTGGTTATAACTAGATTTTAATCAGATTGCCTGCCCCTACTTTTACTGAGCCAGGCTGTCTGATCAAGCAAAAGAATATAGCAAAGTTAAAATAGGAGCGAGGGTAAATGCACCTTACGCTCAAAATCTGAACTTCAAATAATGGAAAGCAACCATGAACGGATTTTTTTCCCTCTGGTAGTACCAATGCAAGGAGGTACGGCCATCTATCGGCAAATAATTTAAGATAGTAAGAATTTTAAGGCATTATTAGGACGGATTGGACTTCAAATCATTAACTAAACTTTCTAAATCTTTGTGAATGTGAAAAGCCTCAAGAAAATCCAATTCGCCTATGGAAGAAGCCTTTTGGATGATTTTTGCAGACCCAAATCAAAATTATGGTAAAAGTCCTGCTATGATACGCTATTGAAGGACTTGTTAATTTCGCCTTTTTTTTGACATAAGATCATGTTCCTTGATACGAAACTTCAACGCTCTTTTGTTTGGCCAATATATCTTACAACACTGACATGATATACTATAAAATCCCCAAGAATTCAGACAGAAACGCAATCTTTTAGAATCGAAGGGTGAATTTTATTAATAGGGGAGAACCGACTTGAAAATTGAATTTCTGGAGAATCCGTGCAATTTTATAGCTAACAGAAGGATAAAATGGAAGCACGACAAGGTCATTAATATTATTTCTAACATGGAATGTCTTCTTTGATGGGAATCTGAAAATTTTTTGACGGGTTTATCAATAATCACGGGAGAAATCCACGGTCAATCGCAACTGCTCTCAAATAATTAAGTTCATTGGTAAGCAAAGATTCAGAGGAACAAACTTTTAGCGTGCGGAAAACATAATAGTAAAAAGAAGCATTTTTTTGCTTAACAGGGTGGCATGACTTGGCATGGGTGTGGTAGAAAAATGCAAAGGGTTTACGGTACCAGTGGTGCTAAAATCGGTTTCATTGCGGATTATAAGAATATCGAGGAAGGGGAGGGAATTGTTGGATTCAATTTCAGAGTGAATTGGATGCTTGGATCAATTGAATTCATAATAATTAGAATCTCGGATAAATCCTCTTTATAACCGTCAAAAAGTGCAAAAGTGTCGTCAACATACCGAATCCAAAGACGAAAAGATAATTTATCAAATAATTTCATCTCAAAATAGTGCATATAAATGTCAGCAAGTACCGGACTGAGAGGATTACCCATAATTGCACTAAATTGCACTAAATTGTCTTGAAACTAGGCTTCGGGAATTTCACTTCACACATACTGAAATTAATGAGTTGGTTTCGCTTACTAAAGTTTCTCTAAGTCAAACCCTACTTTGTTTTCCAAAATGCATATTTTCGTCAAGTTGAAGGATTGGCTAGTGTAATCCTCTCAGTCCGGTACTTGCTGACATTTATATGCACTATTTTGAGATGAAATTATTTGATAAATTATCTTTTCGTCTTTGGATTCGGTATGTTGACGACACTTTTGCACTTTTTGACGGTTATAAAGAGGATTTATCCGAGATTCTAATTATTATGAATTCAATTGATCCAGCCATCCAATTCACTCTTGAAATTGAATCCAACAATTCCCTCCCCTTCCTCGATATTCTTATAATCCGCAATGAAACCAATTTTAGCACCACTGTGTACCGTAAACCCTTTGCAGTTTGTCTACCCCCCCATGCCAAGTCATGCCACCCTGTTAAGCAAAAAATGGCTTCTTTTTACTATTATGTTTTCCGCGCGCAAAAGTTTGTTCCTCTGAATCTTTGCTTACCATGAACTTAATTATTTGAGAGCAGTTGCGATTGACCGTGGATTTTTCTCCCGTGATTATTGATAAGCCGTCAAAAAATTTTCAGATTCCCATCAAGAAGACATTCCACTGTTAGAAATAATATTAATGACCTTGTCGTGCTTCCATTTTTATCCTTCTGTTAGCTATAAAATTGCACGGATTCTCCAGAAATTCAATTTCAAGTCGGTTCTTCTCCCTATTAATAAAATTCACCCTTCGATTCTAAAAGATTTGCGTTTCTGTCTTGAATTCTTGGGGAATTTATAGTATATCATGTCAGTGTGGTTTAAGATATATTGGCCAAACAAAAAGAGCGTTGAAGTTTCGTATCAAGGAACCATGAATCTTATGTCAAAAAAGGCGAAATTAACAAGTCTTCAATCGCGTATCATAGCTGGACTTTTAATCATAATTTTGATTTTGGGTCTGCAAAAATCATCCAAAAGGCTTCTTCCATAGGCGAATTGGATTTTCTTGAGGCTTTTCACATTCACAAAGATTTAGAAAGTTATTTAAGGATTTTGAAGTCCAATCCAGTCCTTCCTAATGCCTTTAAAAATTCTACTATCTTAATTCAATTATTTTTTGCCGATAGATGGCGTTACCTCCTCCGCTTGGTACTACCAGAGGGTATAAAAATCCGTTCAGTGGTTGCTTTCCATATTTGAAGTTCAGATTTTGAGCGTAAGGTGCATTTACCCCTCGCTCCCTATTTTAACTTTGCTAATATTTCTTTATGCTTGATCAGACAGCCTGGCTCATAAAAGTAGGCGGCCAGTGCAACTCTGATTAAAAATCTATTTATAACCACGTGCAGTGCTGATAAGCCTACGTGTTTCTGTGACTCCTTCTCCTATTTTCTTCTTTCTATGTATTTCTTTCTCCTGATGAGGAGGGACCTTTAGCTGCCCTCGAAATCGATTGAGTGTTTCATTATACCTACGCTAAATATAAGGTTGTATTTTACGATTTTGAACTTAATACTGGTTTCACCAAAGTCCCATTGCTTCTGGATCTCAAACTTTGTATTGTATGTATATGTGCGTATATAAAATAATTTCAAAATTATTAATAGTACACTTACTTTTTTGATATTTCTCCAAATAATGCACTAGGATTGATAACTTCAACTTTTGATGTTGAGGGTGCACACATTTTTTTAAAAAGGTTCAATAAACTATTTGCAAGTGGAAACTGGCGAGGCAAAATTAGCTTCAACACATCCTTTGACTAGCATGAAAGAAAAATGAAAAGCACCTGGATTTAAACAATTTGAAAATGAAGCTTGCTATTGGTAAAAAAATCATGAGCTATTTAAAGGAACAAATTCTTATATTGCTACAAATCATAAACAATTTCACATAAATTGAAAAACCAGAAGGTATAAACTTAATTGATTAAGCTGTTTCTAAGAGGAGAGGAAATACACAAAAATCATTAAAAAAAAAAGAAGCAGTGTGCACATACAGTGAAATACATTTAACGCGAAAACACTTAAGACGAAATATCAGTTAACACGAAATAATACAACGGTCCCAACAAACTAAGGTATAAACTTAATTGATTAAGCTGTTTCTAAGAGGAGAGGAAATACACAAAAATCATTAAAAAAAAAAGAAGCAGTGTGCACATACAGTGAAATACATTTAACGCGAAAACACTTAAGACGAAATATCAGTTAACACGAAATAATACAACGGTCCCAACAAACTAATATGCATTTTTTTTCTACAAAACAAAAATCGCTTAACACGAAAGGATTTCCCTTCTGGGAATGAACAAAATACAGAAAACACCAGCTGTGCAGGTGAGATTTAAGAGGAATATGAATTGAAAGAGAAGTATTTTCGCATGTTTTCTTGAAAGAAGGCTAACTTTGAATAGCCTGTGACAAGAGCTAATTTTGTTTATCTAAGCTACTTTCACCCTCCACCCCTACAAATGCTACACAAACATCTCTACAAATGCTACACAAAATCCTCTCTTCTCTCATCAGTTGGCTTTGGAATTCGGTGATGAGTAATCACAGTGTGTGTAAAAAATCAGTGAGTTTGGTTCACCCCAAACAAAATGGAGAAGAAGGATATTGAAACTGATTCGTCACTTAATGAAATGTTTGAGAAAGTTTCTGTATTATCGGTTTGTCCTACTGTATCATCTGAAGAATTCGTTGCAGTAGATGATGATAATGTACGTTCAGCCCCCAATTATGACAGACAAAGACAGTTTGGAGTTTGTTCAAAGCTAAAAAAATATCATTGATGTGCAGATTCTGACGACGAAAATCTAATGTCGCTCCTCTTCAAACGTCATCCAAAATGAGAAACATCGCAAAAAGCATGCGCAGTTGTTTAGATGCACATTACAATGGCGAAATGAATAACAAAATGGACGGCATCGAACAATTTGATGTTAAAAAAGACAATGCAAAGAAAAATATCAGATTATTTTCCAAAAACTCATTAAATAATTTGTTTTTCAAAAAACTTGAAAATTTTGTATTAAATTAAGATCTTGTGGAAGTTTTTGTTTCATTGATTTTTTTATTAAATACATGTACTGTAATTAAATACTAAGTAAATAAAATATACTCTAATAAACTTAATTTTGTTGAATATATGTTTTTTCGCAATATCCTTTAACATAAAAAAATATTTCAGTTCCCTCAGTTTCGTGTTGAACGATTTTCACTGTATGTTTATTTATTTTCTGTATTATGATATATGTAAATTTTACTATGAACAAAAGTTACTTAAACGTAAAGAAGCATTCAGATGCGATGCAGTAGATCAAATTTCAATTATGCCTAAGTGGAACGAAACTATGTTTAAGGAATAAAATTTAAATTTCTAAAAAATCAGAGCTAATTCAGAAGTCAAACAACAAAAATCAGTGTTGTATTATCAAATTTTCACAGGACTAGTTTCGATGGTTACTCAAGGACGCCATTCCTCATGCCATACTCAAGGACCCCATTCCGGACATGAATTCCTGGGGTATTTATAGGATTCCTCACCAGTGTGGTTTAATTTACATTGGCCAAACTAAGAGAGCCTTAAAATTTTGCGTCAAGGAACATGAGGCATATGTTAGAAAAAAGGAAACACAGAAGTCTTCTGTTGTCCAACATTGTTGGTGCGAAAATCACGCTTTCAATTTTTCTGCTGCCAAAATTATTTAAAAAACATCTTCCATTGGAGAACTGGATTTTCTAGATGCATTTCACATTCAAAAAAATCTTTCTGTTCTAGTTAATAATCCTAATTCCAATCCATCTTTGCCTTCGGCCTTTAAAGAAATTATGTTTTAGTTCTGGTTTCATCAACAGATGGCACCACTAGCTTATTTTCTGTTCAGGCTTTCTTATCTTATCTAATCATTATAACCTATCTCGTTCATTTGCGCTTTTGCAGCTGAGGATAATGGTTCGGTAAAGCCATCGAAACTAGTCCTGTGAAAATTTGAAAATATAACACTGATTTTTGTTGTTTGACTTCTGAATTAGTATTTGTTCAGTGTGCTATTGTATCTTAAATTAGAGCTATTTTTAGATATACGTAAATTATCATTAACATAAACAATGTAATTTTTTTCTTTTTAATTTTCTGTATGGTACTTTTTCACTATTACTACATTTATGTATAAAAACATCCACATAAAATATTATACCACTTAATGATTATTATTTTACTAATGGCAGCTGTGAAAATAAGTAAAATTTTAAATCATATACTTACATTTTCAATGATAGTTTCATTAGTTATGGTAAGTCGAGGTACTTCCCATACAAAATCGGGATTGCAAGAATCTTCTAATTCCTGATATAAAAGGTAAGTTTGAGCTAAATTCTAGAAGGAAAGGAAAAACATAGAAATTAAATAAACCAGAATTATATGTCAATTTTCTATAAAAATCTTTATATTTTAACTTGCAAATTAATAGCTTGAAATTCAATAAGAAAAGGGCTAAGAAAAGTTACAAAGTCAAAATGTTAGGTAATGACTGAAAAATGTTACATAGTTTATCCACGTTATAAATAACTTTTTCTTTTCAAAACTGAAACAACAAGATTATGAAAAGGAAGCATCACATATTTAATCACTGCAATTTTATATATTCACTTTAAAATTTCTCAAATGAGAAAATGTCATACGACAATGTCAGAAAAAATTGCCTTAACCCTCTGAGCAGCACTTGTTTTTGGATCTGTTATGAAAACCTGTATTTATGCAGCATTTATTAGTTAAGTTTATATATTTACTTATTCTAGCCTCTATTTTCATAAAAATTCATTCATTAAGATTACATTTACACTATCAAAGGAAGTAAGAAAGCAAAATATCTTATGTTATAAGCTAATACGTATCAAGTGACAAAAAATCTTATGAATGGATATAGCCAGTCATGCTGCTCAGAGGGTTAAAAATGGCAATTTACATAGATTTTCCTTCATGCCTGCAAACTGAAAGTATTATTTTTCACAGCAATTAATACTAACTACAATATGTTGAGTGGATTCAACTGATAGGTTTTCAACTAAACTCCTATCCTCAGCATTAAAAATAATTAAACAGATTAAACCAATTCACCACATAAATCAATGGTCTCTCATTTTCAGAAGCAAGCAATTCTAACGAAAGGCATTTTTTTCATTAAATAAATAGCATCCATTATTAAACAAAATAATAATTAAAAAAAGACACATTAAACATTATTGAGTTGATGAATATTAATAAAGAATTGTACTGAGTATTAAATTCAGTGAACTAAAAAATGGTACACATCTCAATTTCTGTATACATCCTTAGTACACTGACTACCAATAAGTATTTGGACACCTGTGATAGAAAAGAAAAACTAACTTTATTCAAAATCAATAGTTGGTAGAGCCTCCACGAGAGGTAATTACAGCGTGGACCCTCCGGGCATACTTTCCACAAGTCTTTGTATGGCAGCAGTGGGTATTTCTTCCACTCGGCTTGGAGAAGACATAGAGTTCCTTCACCGATTTTGCACGGGTAGTGCACCCCTGAATTCGGCGATGCAACTTGTCCAGAGGTTTTCGATAGGGTTCAGGTCTGGACTCTGGGCAGGCCAGTCCATTCGATGAACTCCATTGGCACCATACCAGCCTGGTTAACGTCGAAACATGAAACTGGCATTGTCGTCTGAAAGTAACAGGGGTCCAACCCGTAAAACTGCCACAGCGTAGGAAGCACATTGTCATCCAAAATAGTGCAGCAGGCATCGGAGTTGAGCTTACATGAAGGGACCAAGGTCTTAGCCCATACCAGGAGAAACACCCCCAGACCATAATTCCACCTCCGCCGAACTTGACTGTTGGACAATACATTCTGGCAGGAGACGTTTCCAGGTAGACGCCAGACCAGACCCTGCCATCCGAATAGTAAAGGGTGAACCTTGATTCGTCATCCAAAGAACCCATTTCCAATGATCTACGGTTCAATTCGATGTGCTTTGCACCACATAACCGAGCAGCGCGGTGGACTTGTGATCAAAGGCTTATGGGCAGCAGCACGACCACGAAAACAAAGCAGATGTGCTTTCTTACGGATGGTATTCATTGAAGCAATACTCCCGGGTTCCTGTTGAAACTCCTCGCGGATGAGGGCTATCGGTTGGGCTCGTTCTTCCGAATTTCTCTGGACAGCACTCGTCGGTCTGCCAACTCAGGGTACATTCCGACAATCCCCGCTCACCTTCCACTTCTTAATCACATAGGCCACTGTCGATATTGGGTACTTCAGATCGCTAGGTATGTCCCTTAAGGATCGACCACATTTGTGATACCCGATAATTATACCTTTCTAGAAATCAGAGAGCTCCGAACTGCGAGGCATCTTGCATGCAACTAAAGCCGATGCTGTTTCCTACATGATATATACTGGCGGAGTCCGCACGGTACCTTAGGACCGCAGATATCATCATTTGCATAGGTGCCCAAATACTTATTGGTAGTCAGTGTATCCTAATATATCATTTGATTCTCTCCAAAACAAAATTCTCACATAAAAATTCATTACTTTCTGAACACTATGTGTGACTGGTTGGTCAAGACCGCTGAATACTGGTAGTTTGACTTGGGTTTGAGGCCAGGTGATCGGGCTAGCTGCATGGTTGGTTTTCATTGTTTGCCCCATGTGAAAGGCACGAGATAGTTTCCCTTAAATGTTCTCCACGAAGACATCCTTTCCCTTAGATAGGCAGCTTTTGTGTGCTTTACCATGTTTAATTAATCAAACTAATGTATCTACTTTCTGAACAAATTGATCCAGACATTATATTATAGACGCAAACATATAACAACGGATAAATTAATAAGTTGTGAAACTTTTTTAAATTTTGAATTATAAAATTTTCTTCACTAACTGCTTTAATAAAAATTCATATTTCATTTATCACACAGTCGAAAATCAATTTTTAAGTTATTTTAAAATATGTCAATATATTCTTAATTACCTATGATGAGAAGAATGAATGCACATAATACATTATTTATAAATTGTTTATCTTCTAAGTTTTATATGAAAAGAAATTTTAAATGTCTTCTATTCAAAAATTATTATTGAATCATATTTATTGGAAAAAGTGCATAATACTTGTGAACTTATTAGTCCACAAGATAAAAATAAGCTGACTTACTGGCATCAAGAAACTTCACCAATATCTTCATTCGAGGAAAAGGACTGTTTAATGGGAATTTTGAGAAAAATTCAGGACTTTTATGCTTGTAATTTATTTATTATTATTCTTCCATATAAAATTTAGTTACATGTTTAACAAGGTAGAACAATCATAGGTTTTATCACAATGCCTTGCAATATAATTAATGCAAAAAAAAAGCAAATTTCATTTTGCTTTTTTTTTGCATTAATTATCACACCAAGTTGAAATATTAATTTAACAACTTTTTAGAAGTCATGCTATTGCTATTATTGCCATATAGTTAATATGCTACATTTGTAATTTTTTATAAAGTATTGAAAACAACACACATTGTTTCAATAAATTTAAGGAGAAAAATTCGTGATCATAATTTAGTTAAATTTAACCATATGAATACAAAAGCAAATAAGCTAAGTAAAAGTTAAAAGATTATGAGTTTCTTTTAGTTGAAGAAACAGGATACAAACTCAGCAACATATAGCAACTGATTCAATTTAATAATTCAGTTTAATATCATTATTGAATAATGTAATTCAATAATAATTAACCCTTTTTTTCTGTAAAACATGACAGTTTATTCATATTCCCAATGGAACTGAAACTTGATCTAATCTCTTATGGCTTTCTAATTTTGTTCAGCTTGATTCTAAATGCTACATTTCAAGTAATGCATTTGTCTTCAAGTTTAAAGTTGTCTGGCAACATCTTTAGTGGACTAGAAAAATAAGAACTCAAAAATATTAAAATGATGCTATTATTATTTAAAATAAGTTAACAAATTTGTATTATCTCACTAACAGATAAAAGTCTGGTTCATATTAAAGGTACTAAACTAAGGTACAATAAACTGCAAGAAAAGTATGGCGACTTATATAAACCCACTAAAGTTAATAACCACTTTAAAATAAACTCACAAATTCAATCTTTAGATTGACATTAGAATAACAATTAAAATCTTAAGATTGACATTAAATTGTTCTATGCATTTCATGAAAATATGACAAGGGTAAGTAAAAAACGTTTTCAATGTTCAGGAAATTTAAAATGTATACCTAAAATTTAAAAATAAATGAAAATTAAAGACAAATGTAACACAAACTGTTGTTTTTTAAACTCATATATTAATACTAAACTGGTCAAATTTGGCATGATGATACAAAATATTTTTGCCTTTGAAGAAGAGATTTAGATTATCTTGGTATGCAGACAGTACTGCACCATCACTATAAAATTCATACCAATCTAAGATTTATTTTGGCAGATTTTAAGAGACAGTATGTTACTACACACAGATTATAATGCAGAAATATAACGAAAAATTTTGGTACTTAACAACTATATAAAATTGCCTTTTGGCTGCTTAATGCTTTAGACTAGTGTATGTTAAATTGTGGGTCACAACCTCAAATAGGGCTGCAAAGCAAAATATTAAGAGTTGTGAAAATTGAAGTCAAAATCATGAATTTAAAGAAACATTAGTTGCAATGCTTTCATTATATTTAATTTAATACATTACATTTTATAGATCAATTATAAAATTATAATATTAACCAAGTTGTGCTTTACATATTGAAAACAACGACTAGGTGCAAAATATGCCACAAATGCACAGTAAACTTCCTGCTCCATACAGGTTTACCAAGAATAAGGTCAGTGCTACTATGACTAGTGTAGACATAATGCTTTTTCAACAGAGTAAGTTGTTTCTGTTTCATTGCAAAAAGTGTGTACATTGAAAGAAAAATACAATTATTTTATTTTACTGTTTTATTTCCCTATGTATTTATTTTGCAGCTGGAAGCTGGAAATGTTACCAAAGTTTCTTAAAGTGGAATCTAGTAATTAGAAAGTGGCATCTAAGATGCGAAACAGAAAATACGATGAGATATTTCTCATCATATTTTCTAAAATCATATCATCATTTCTAAAATAATATCTATTCTCATCATATTTTCTAAATAATAAAATCTATCATCTCATCGTATTTTTACCTTCAAAAACTGTAACGGTAATGAACAATCTCTTAGTTTAATTTGCAATAAAGTTTTGGTTATGGATGGTATGAAACCATCAAAATTAAAAATTCACCTCGAATCCAAGCATTTTTTTGCATGTCAATAAACCAAAAAAAAAAAAAAAAAATTTCAATGACTTAAAATCTTCAAACACAGAAAACAATATTTTGAGGAATTAACAACAGCTAGCGTAAAATATTTATTTCTGTCACACGCAGTTTCATATCTAATAGCCAAAAAAAGCTATACTACATCTTGTATTACTTACTATTGCTGCTATTAAAATGCTAGAAATACTTCATAGAAGTAAACATGGTAATGAAATTTGGAAAATTCTTTTGTCAAATGGATACTGTCATCAACAGCATTTCTGAATTAGCAATGCCCAATTAGAGCAATTTATTACTAGATTTAAAAAAGGGGCAAGATTTATCAAAGTTAAACAAAACAACTGATCTGTCAAAAATAGCTCAGTTGCTATTATGCATCAGACATATTTATGAGAAAGCATCAATGAAGATTTGTTATTTTGTCATCCTTTGGAAGAACATATTTAGTAAAGTTAATGATGAAGAGAGGAAAACATATTTAACAAAATTGATAATTTTTAGACCAAAGGGCAATTTGCCCTGAAAGACTATTAATTTCGTTTTGGCATTTTGCATTGAAAACTTTAAAAAGCTCTATCATTTTTCAAATCGTTGCCTCCATATATTATCGCTCTGTCTTATATTTAAAGAAATTAAATAATGAAGAATCTGCATGAATGTATGTATGTTTCTCACACTGTGATACAACAACTGTACCTTGAGACATCAAAATTTGAATAATGTAATCTTCCATAGAATATGAGAATGTGGAAGCCCTAATTTGAATTTGAAATTTGTTTTATTATCGATTTCAGATTTTGTAACACTCCAACGAATTTTTGATTAAAAAACTAAAGGATTTCAAACCAAGCAATAACAACACTGCATGGGAAAAAAACATTTTTATCTCCAGTGTGCGAGACTCTATATCGGAAATTCTAAAGATTGCTCAATTTAAAATTATTTTGCAATATTGCTCTTGAACTGAATTTTATGGTTTAAGTGTGAAGAACATGATATTTAATTAATAACGGTAACACAAAATGCTAAAAAAAAAATAAAATAAAATAAAATAAAATAAAAATAAAAATTAAAAAAAGCCCCTTTGGACATAATTTAAAATCCGAAAACTTTCAGATTTTTTTTTTTAAATTGAAGACTTAAAATGGAAAACTTACACTGGAATATGCATATGGTTAGGTTAAGTTATTTAATTTTGGCAAAATTATTAATTATGGCTCGAGGGCTACCTGCCTAAGGGGAGGGATGCCTTCGTGGAGGATTTTCTAAAGGGAACTGTTTCGTATACACATTACACATGGCGAAAACACCCATGCAGCCCATTAAAGGGATTCGAACCTCTGACCGAACAACCAGTGTTCAACGACTTTACAGCTCGGCCACTGGTGGGCGGAATATGCATATATTGTGCTTAAGCAATAATATTGGTTTTAAATCATTCGTCAAAGCTGCTACTACCTGATTCATCCAGAGGGCTTGCAGAAAAATATTAGCATAACTGAGCAATGAGATTCAGGATGCTGACAAAATTATAAACCTTATTAAAAGTCATGCCCTTAACAGCCATTTATTTTCATATCTTTGTAAAGATGCACTGAGCACATAAAGTTAGTAATACATGTAGAAGTACAATGGATATCAAGATGGTGATGTTTAAGAACATTATTGCAATTAAAAGGCAAAATTATTATATTTTTAACCAAATGAAAACCTGATCTTGATGTTCTTTTTCAAAGTGATTTCAAGGCTATCAAAGCTGAGCTATTTATCAGCTATTTTTTAGCAAATGAATGATATCATCTCCTAAAGAAAAAAAAAAAAAAAAAAAAAAAAAAAGCAGCAATACAATATTTTCAATGATAAAATTGGAAATTTTATAAAAAGATCAACATTTCAAAGAGTAGAATGGAAAACGACCCATTCGATATGTTTTTGACTATCAACAGTTTAATAAATAATCATCAAAATTTTAATGCAAAAATTATTATTAATCATTATAAAGCCCCAGTAACAGTTTTTCAAATATTTTAATTGAAATTTTGATTTCATTCAAGAAGTTATCTTGGATCCAAAAAACACTTCTTATTTGACATTAATGAGACTAAGCGCCTGCGATATAAAGCCTCAGAGAAGTTTGTTAAGCTAGAGTGACTCAAAAACTTCAGTTTCCGCAAATGACTGAATTCTGGATCAGAGATATAACTGAATTTTCAACCACATATTTTTTAAAAATGACTTTTTCAGTTTTAATGATTATTAAATACAAATATCACTCAATGCTGAAAAACAGTTAAGATACTAACAAGTCAAATATTCCCCTAAGATTAAATTTATTATGCAGAAAAAGGGGAGGACTCATTACAATTTTACTTTTCCATTAATTTTCATATACTTGAAACACATCCTAATACTACTAAGTTTCATACATATATTGCTTACCAAAAAAATTAATTATTTATGGAAAATTATTAACTTTTATATTTTTTTTTATTTGGTGTTTTTTGATGATAAAAATAGTTTTTTTTGACTGTTTTTTTTTTTTTTTTTTTGTTTTAATGGCAAAGCATTCTAGGGCTATCTGCCTAAGGGAAGGGATGCTTTCATGAAGGACTTTCTAATGGAAACTGGTTTGTATATGCATTACACATGGGGAAACTCTGCAAATGCCCATGCAGTCAGCCCATTTGTGAGATTCAAACCTGGGACTGAACTACCAACGTTCAACAACTTTACCACTCGGCCACTGGTGGATTTTTAAACTGTGATCTTGAATTTATGTGAATTATTTTGAAAATGAACTGGTGAGTGTTTTTTTTATTACTTATGATACACCACAATTGATAAGAAAAACTTAAATTTCCTTTCACCTCTCAAGCAAGCACAAATAAAAATTTATTAAAAAAAAAAAAAAATTTTTTTTTACCTGCATTACTGCATTGAAGAAACATGTATTTCCCAAATTTCGTAGACCCTAGAAAAAAATTTAAAATACGATATGAAATTACAATTAAATATAAAAATAACGTGACGAAAACAGCAGATGATATTGCATTAACCTCTTCACAACTTATGATGGCCGGTATGACCTGCCACTGAAAACAGTTGCCTTGGCAGCCAAGATCACTGATGGTGTTTCCTCTAAAATACACAACACCAAGTATGGCAATTTTCTCAAATGCTTTGTGTCAGCTTATCTTTCCTGCAGACAGCTTGCTGAAGATGAATTCTTGAAAAAGGTGATTTTTTAAAAAAGCAGTTATTCAATCTTCCTTTATACAGTACATTCTTTTTAAGCTTTCTTCAAAATGCATAGGTATTAGAATGTTTTAATTTTTATAAAATATATATGAAATACCTATATGCACATATTAAATGTATCTATATGCCCCTACATGCACAGTGAGTCAAAATGAAAAGGGGTATTTTTATGTCTCCTGTTCTAGTTGGCTGAACGGGAAGCTTTAAATTGCATTTTTTAACTGTGCAACTTGAGATATATATTAGATTTATAAATTGTGCTCTAACATGTAGATTTTGACACAAAATTAAACTTTTTTGGAATGGCACGCCGATTTTTTCCCCCACAATGCAATTCTATACTTTAAATTATGCATAAATATTAAATTTTGCAAAGGTCATGCAAGGCATTTTAAAGATATTCAAGTTTAAAACTCAGATTAATGCCACAGTTTAAATTTAACATTTTTACTACTTTACACGAATTTTTTGCTATACATTTTAAAAATAATTAAAATATCAGGAAAATATTTAGAAGATTCTCTAGTAGGGGAAAAAAAACTAAAAAAGAGTTGCTTTAAAGTTTCCTTAATTTGTGGGAAAAATTATATTTACAATTGTCTGGCAAATCAAAGATTTAGAATCTGAATCTAATATATGACCCAAAGATATCAGTACTATGAATTTCAGAAATGCTGTGGCTATGAACCAATCTTGTTGCATAACAGGGTGAAGCCTACCTTGCTGAAAAGTTCCCTTGTGGCGCTCATTGACCCAGTTAGGTTGCTATTTACATACAACATATTTTTAATTCTTTAAACTTGCTAATAAAAGCATTAGAATGTAAGCAAACTGAAAACATGTTGTTGCACTAATAAAATGCCTTTTTTTTAAAACTTATCACAATTAAATTTTTAGAGCATTATCAGATAACATAAAATCAGCTATTAATAAATGCTTTTTAACAGTAATGAGACCATGAATTCAAAGCACTTAGTTGTTCTGTGCTGCTTAATTATGAATGGATAATTTAAGCGACAATAGTAAAACTGAAATTACATCCAGATATAATGTTAATAAATAATTCCTTAATAACAAAAAATGATAGTAAGTATAATTTTTTCAGAAATCTTACAAAACTAGAAACAAAAAGAAAATAAAATTGATTTTTGAGTAAAATAAAAAAGTTTAAAAGATTATTTTTTGTACTTAATTAAAAAAAAGCACATACTAATTATTTCACGAAACATAAAAAGTAGTATTAATTTTATGATGAAAATATGAATTTCACCAAAAATTTCAAAAATTAAACTCTAAAATAATTTCTTTAGAAGCTGACGGTTAAAGACAGACTGGAATTAGGATTGTTAATTAAAACTGAAAGATTTGTAAAAATGCGAAGCACTTCTAGAAAATGTAATTTTCCAATGGATAATGTTTTTTGAATAATTTTAGGTGCAGAAAAATGGAAAATGTGATTTTCTGACCAACAGTATTGGGCAACAGCAGATTTGTGTGTTTCTTTTTTCCTAACATATGCCTCACATTCCTTAGCTCGAAATTTAAGGTTATCTTAGTTTGATCAATGTAAGTTAAATCACAATGCCAAGGAACCCTGTATATATGTCAGAAGTTTATATCCAGAATGAGGTCCTTAAGTAAGGAACTGTGAATTTTATTGACAGAAGGGAAAACAACCTGAAAGTTGAATTTCTGTAAAATACACAGAATTTTATGACAACCTTTCTTCCATCACAAAATCGGTGGAACAAACGTATAACAATTCATATAATCTTTTAAAATGAGATGGTGTTTTTGATGTGTTGAAATAAAAATTTTTTAACTACTTGGTCAAAAATTATAGGAGAAAAGAAACTCTATGAAAAGCAACTGCTTTTAAGTAATTTAGTTCATGACGAAGGGCCAATTTGGAGGAGCAAACCTGAAGTGCATAGAAAACGAAGAAATAAAAATGAAGCCAAATTCTCTTTATTCACATAACATGATCTGAAGTGTGGTGGTAGGTAAACAGTAGCAATGAAGTTGGATATGTAATGTGTGAACAAGATGTCGAGAAATGGGAGAAAATGGATATCTCAAGTTCAAAAGTGAACCGAATGGCAGGATCAATGGAATTCAGTATTGAAAGAACTTTATCTAAATTATCTTTATTACCATCAAACAGAGTAAAGATATTAACACATCTGAACGAAACTGGGAAGTTTAAAATGTTCAATAATTTTGATTCATAATAATACATATAGATATCAGCAAGAACGGGACTAAAAGGGCTTATCATGGCTAATCTATCAATTTGCATGTAACGCTTATTTTGGAAAACTAAATGTGTTTGCTTCAGAGTTGATTAACAGAAATTAAGTCACAATTTTGTTACAGGAAAAATGAAACTCTCAAAGTTTTGTTTCTAATCATTTAAGTGCACCTTACTTGACTTACCGTATGTAAGTCAGTGGATATACTTACAAAATCGATATGACGTCATATTACTTTTCAAGCACAGACTAAAAAATTATTTAAAAATATTATTCTACTTTTTTACTTTTTTATAATTAATTTTCAAAATTCATCAAAAATTACTTCATGCAGAAAGGTTACAGACCAAAATAAAAAATTTTACACCAAATGTAATCTTACATATTCAACTGAAGAAAAACAGATGAAATGTACTTAAATAATAATTTATTTTATTTTATTTATTTATTTTGCATTTTATAATAGCAAGTACAGTGAAATACATTTGAAATACGTTTAAAATGAAAATGATTAAGATGAAATATCGGTTAACACGAAATAATACAATGATCCTGACAAATTGCTATGTATTTTCGGTTAGAGTAGACTTTAAGGTATCCCTTATATTATCGCAAAGTTGTTGTTTCATTTATCGCCAAGTTGTCTCATTTATGACAACCTGAGTAGTTGAATGCTATGGAAACTCTATCATGACATAATTGGTTGTGATGAATTTGAATCATTTGAAAAAATTTGGAAAGTGTGTGTGTCGGATTTTGGGTAAGGGTTATGCGTGTTGGATAAGTACGTTATTATGTTGTGGTTTACACATAAATTGGGTGAATGTGGTAAGATTAATTTGAAGTTTCTGTAGGATTTGGAACGAAATGAAAAAAGCCTTAATTGACTGGTGTGTAAATGAAGGTTTACTTAGTAACCATTATTAAGTGTCCTGTTTGGTGGAAGGAAATGTATATGGTCGAACATTGGATATTTTTGAACGAAGGATATCTTTTACTCTTATTTTTGTGAATTTATGTGGCAACACCAGTATACAGATTCTAGTTCAGATAATTTTAGGAAGTGTTTGGATGCTGTTAAGGAATTTTGTTTGACTGAAGATGCGTAAATTCGGTAAGTGGATATTTCCTTCGTGTAGTGCTAAGATGAATTTCCTTTTTTATATAATTTCATTGTTTGATTTAAAATGTAGTTTATTCAGATTATACATTTTTTGGCTGCTTTTTTGACTTTTCAAGTGAATATAGTTCAATGTGTACATGGACAAAGGGAGTGCGTAAAACCTAGTTTGCGAATTCTTTGATTTTTTTAAAAGTGAAAATAGGTCGATGTGTACGTGGATACCGAGTTTGTGTAATTCTTTGTCTTGCTATTTTGGCTTTGCGTAGCGACAATTTTTGGCGCGAAAATCACCGCTATGCAAGCCAAAATAACAAGTCAAAGAATTGCACAAACTCGGTATCCATGTGCCACCAAAAATCACCAAGGGGTACCCTAAAATCTACTTTTCCCGTATTTTGCTTCTCTTAACATGAAACAAAAATCGATTAACATGAAAAGATTTCTTTTAAGTAAATAAACAAAATACAGGAAAAACTGGCCTCATAGGCGATATTTAACAGGGGTGTGAAATGAAAGAGAGGTGGTTTTGCATGTTTCGTAGAAAGGAGGTAAACTTGGCTTTGAAATACCCTCGGAATAGCCTGTGACACCAACCAGTTTTGTTTATCTAAGCTACTTTCACCCTCCACCTCTACAAATGCCACACAAACATCTTATCTCTCATCAGCTGGCTTTGGAATTCGGTGACGAGCACATGGCAGTGTGAGTAAAAATCAGTGAGTTTGGTACATATGTTACACTCTGCATGTCTCTGTCTCTTTGTATGTTGCACTCTGAATGGAATTAAGTGACTCCAAGGACGATTGAAAACTGTTTTCGTCATCCACGATTCTCAAAAGTATCAGAGTCTTTGGCGCCAAAAGAAATGGAGAAGGAGGATATTGAAACTGAACCGACATTTAATGAATTGTTTCAGAAAGTTTTTGTATTATTGTAAGTTTCTGTATTATCAGAAGAATACATTGCAGTAGATGATGACAATGAGTGAACAGCTCCAATTATGGCAGACGGCATTTTGGAGTTTGTTCAAAGCTCAAACAATATCATTGATGCATATTCCGACGACTAAAATGAAATGAATAATGCAGCTCCTGTTCCCACGTCATCCGAAATGAGGAACATCATGAAAAGTATGCGCAGTTATTTAGATGTACATTCCAATGGTGAAATGAATAACAAAATGGACGACATTGAACAATTTGATGCTAAAAAAGCATGCAAAGAAACATCAGGTTATTTTCCAAAATCTCAATAAATGTTTTGTTTTCAAAAAACTTTAAAATTTTGCATTAAATTTAAGTTTTTGTGATTGTTATTGTTTCATTAATTTTTATTAAATACATGCACATATAAATATTTATGCAAATAAAATGTACTCTAATAAACTTAATTTTGTTGAATATATGTTTTATTTCCCCCCCCCCAATATCCTATCCTTTAACATGAAACAATGTTTCAGTCCCCTTACTTTCGTGTTAAACGACTTTCACTGTATAATATTTTACTCTTTGGTTCATATGTGTTACTGATTCAGAGCCAGCAGATACTATCATATTCTTGGTTACTTTACTGACACGAATAAATAATTTATGACACTGTTAACTGTTAAGCCAAAGATTTAAATAACCATAAAAAATTTATATTTAATGGATTGTTGAACAAAAATTAAATACCTTAATGGAAGATTTGGAAACTGAAATATTGCTTTTAGCATTACTCTTTGGAGTTTTGCTTGATTTTGAATCTCTTACAGGTTCTTCTGAAATTTTAGGATGCATTTCTTTAATAGCAGATTCTTGCAAGTTTTCATGGGTACCTGTTTTTTCATCTGTACCTACAATTAAAAACAGCAATTGTTAATTCATCTTTTTAAAAACATATTTAATGAAAGAGCATAAAACTGTGGTTTTTCTAAATAAAAATAATCGAAAAATATAAATATTTTCAGTATTTTTCTAAGTTTTATTTAGTCTTTGAAATAGCATTATCTGGTTAATATGTTAATTCTCAATTTCAAAAACTTCACAAACATAACTACTTTATAAAGAAAAATTTATATGGTTAAAAAAAAAGATCTAAAAAGATAAATTTATCTTGATAACAAATAATATTAACAATCAATACTTTTATTAAAACTCTTTTTAGTAATGCTAACATAAATGACATTACCATTATATTTCCAAATATAAGGCGGCAGTAAATTTTTTTCTTCAGAAATTTACCCAAAATTCAAGCTTATACATAAGCTGAAATTTAAAAAAAAAAAGATGCTAAAGACAACAGTTTTAACTCTGGTAATCTTATTTAAAGCTAGCACATTTTTTTTTATTAATTTGTTATCTTGTATGCAATTTATGGTACCTGCACTAGTCTTATTTTTTGTCTGAATGGTGAGGGGGAACATAAATTCTTACAGTGGCTCCCAAAAAGTGTTTGTAAACTTAAAGAGTTTGTAGAAAAAGCCATGTAGCCCAGAACTTAATTAGAATATAAACCCTAATGTTTTTTATATCATCTCCATGCAATTTTAAATAAAACTAAATTTTTTTAATAATGACTTATTTCCTTTTTCTAAAATTGAAAAATGAAGGAGGCATAGATAAAACAAGCCACAAAAGTGATCGTACACCAGAAGATTTTCCTAAAATTATCATCTGCCCTCCTAAAATTATCATCTGCCGTTTTTTTATTTTTGCATTTTGATGATGTTTAAAAATTCACTTGGATTTATTCTCTGCTTGCCGACTTCCTTATACTTTCTAATTCAGAAGTCAAACAACAAAATCATCATTCAGCTGCAAAACCGCAAATGGATTTGCGTTTCAGTGAAGATGTGGTTCAGTAAAACCATCGAAACTAGTCTTGTGAAAATTTTGTAGGTATAACGCTGATTTTTGTTGTTTGACTTCTGAATTAGTATTTATTCAGCGTGTTATTGTGTCTTAATTCCTTATACTTTATTTAATATTTAAAAATGGGTCATAATCATAAAAAAACAACTATCATTCGAAAATTTATCATTTTTCATCATAAAGGTGGAAAATCAATCCAAGATATACCTAAATTAGTAAATTTATCTCAGTTTAAAATGCAGTATGTGATAAAATGCTTTAAAGAAGAAAACTGGGTCAAAACTAAACAAGTGGTCATTTGGCAAAGTTAATATGATCAGAGATTTATGGTTAGAAAATGTATGAAAAAAATCCTTGTTTAAGTGTTGATAAGATTTTTACAGAATTTACTGAAAAATGTTCTACCTCAGTTTCACTTGAAACTGTTTGTTGAGTATTCAGATTGGCTGAATTATATACATACTTTGCTCGAAGACAAAATTTTTTTAAGTGCAAAAAAACAAAAAGCTTATTCTTTCCTTTACTAAATCAATGGTAAATAAGCACAAAGCATATTGAAACCATGTCTAATTTACAGATGAAAGATTATTTAGCATTTTTGGTTCTTATGGGCATATAATTGTATGCAGGAGAAAAAATGAGGAACTTAATCCCAAGAACTTGGTTTGAAGAGTGCAGCATGGTGGTGGAGATGTCCTTGTGTGGGGTGGATGTCAGAATCAGGATTAGGTAATTTCGTATTTACTGACAGCCATAATAAACCATGCTGTGTATTTAAATATTTTAAAAGGTAATTTTAAATTATCCACCCAGAATTTGGATACTGGAAAAACTTAATTTTTTTAATCAGGATAGCACTTTCAGCAAACGGCCCTCAACATTTGCATCCAGTGTGTCCATAATTATCCACAAGTCCTGAAAAGACTACCTCAATCACTAGATTTAAACTCTATAGAACACATCTGGACAGAATTAGAGGTAAAGTAAGACACAACATTAAAATGCAAACCAAACTAGAAAAAAGTAAAGATGGAAGATTGGAGGAATATTGAGGTACACATGAAAAAAATGGCTCTGCTTAAAGATGTAAAACTCCACGTGGAATTTTAGTGCATGCTAATGAAGAGGGTTGTATGGATGAGTGTGGCACCTTGAATTGGTTGGAAAGATGACGGAGTCAAAGAAACAAAACCATAGCAAAACCATCCATGCTGCTTTAGACTTATTTAAAGCATATTTCACAGATAAAGTGAAAGGCCAAGTGCCAATTTATATATGAAAATACAGCAGTACTTTGGTATACAGCATTAATCTGTTTCAGATCTTTCAAGGAATACCAAATGGAGTTTTCTAATATGAAATAAAAGCAGAATTTAAAAAAAAAATTCTGAACGGTTTCAGGTTTTAAATTATGTCCAAAGGGGCTTTTTTTTAACATTTTGTGTGTTTACATTAATTTATAAAATATCACGTTCTTCACACTTAAACCATAAAATTCAGTTCAACAACATTATCGCAAAATAGTTTTTAAATGAGCATATCTTTAGAATTTCCGATACAAAGATTTATGCGCTGGAGATAAAAATGTTTTTTCTGTACAACGTTGCCATTGCTCGCTTTGAAATCCTTGAGTTTATTACTCAAAAATTCGTTAAAGTTTTACAAAATATAAAATTGGTAATAAAAAAATTCCAAATTTCAAATTGGGCTTTCACATGCCCATATTTGTAGGAGGATACGTCTTCAAAATTTGATGGCTCTATGTACGTTGTTTTATCACAATCGAGAAATAAACATATTTTGTGCAGATTTTTCATATTTAATACTCAAATATAATGAGGACTCTAACATTTGGGGCAACAGTTTGAAAGTGAAATGGCATTTATAATGAGCCAACGCAAAATCGCAAAACGAAGACAATAGTCCTTCAGGGACAAAGCCCCTTTGGACTAATAATCCGTTCTTATAAAAAAAATCCTTATTATTATTACTATAAATCCATATAACATTGTTATTATTATTATAATCCTTATTGTTATTATTAGTATAAAATACAAATGCATTGAGTGAAATATATACAGTACAATAAAGCACTACCTGTGACATTGTACACAAAAATTTTTCTACTGCCCAGATCAAAAGCAAATTTTCAACATGCTCCAACATCTCTGATCTCAGGTAATCGATTTCATCCCCTTTGCAATGCCATCATTTAATATCATCTTTGTATTTCAAAACTGTAGATGGCATATAGTATGCAACAACTTAATTCTGCATATGTATGTCATCTTCAAATCTTTCAACAATCTCTTATTTCAATTCCATGGTGATCCTAACAATTTTGTTGTTGTTGTTATTGCTTGACTCTTCTCATTAACTTTCTTTCTTGAAACTCACTGTTAATTAAACTAGAACCCCCCAAAAATCACATAAAAAGAGTTATAATATGCACTGTTTACTGAATGGCAGGAAAAGGAGTTCTGATACTCTTAGGCAGTCAAAGCATTGTTACGAACACTTCTTACTCATTAAACTCAAGCTGTATTCCAAACAAACATTGTATACCAAACAAAAATTTTCTTGTCTAAACATTACATGTGAAAAGTTGGACATATTTCAAAGCAGACATATGCTGAGGTACCACTGTATATGGTATTAGAGTCCTTTTCAATCTTCATTTAAGTTGCAACAATTCTGATAATGATGAAAATCTATTTGGTACCAAAGATTGTAGAATTTATTAGGTTTTTCTTAACAGGAAAACTTAAAAATTAAGTGCACTTTTCCTAGGATTCAAACCATCAATCTTCCAAATGCTAGCTAAAAATGATAAACACTTACATCACAAGAGCATGCATGGCTGAATACGATCATTTATGGGGGGACAGGAGAATACAACTCAGTCAAACCCATTTAGTGATGATGAGTTTTAATTTGGGCACTACAGTTTTGGGCACTGGGTTTTTAAATCAGGAAGCATGGAAAAACACCAGTGACCTTACTGATATTTAAACCATAGATCTAACTAACTGGATGTACTAACAGCTTACACCATAAGAGTTGGCATAGGAAAATGCAATAATTGCTTAGAAGATTGAAATATTTCCTGTTGTCATTATTTTAAAAATAATTACTAGTCTTCTGTTTCTATATTGCTCTTAAATTACTGAAAACTTTCATAATTCAAATGCACTAATTTAATAGGCTTTGCTTTAAACTTAGCCCAACTAAATGGTAGTGTTAAATTAATATCTATTCTAAAAATCTTCTTTACTTCTTTAGTCACTTTTCCTAAATCTGATAACAAATAAACCAAACAAAATGATGTCAATAACTAACATGCCAAAAAATATATTAATATGTTTTATCACCTTATTATGAAACTTACTTTTCAAATTAGGCTTGTTTCCTTTGAGTTTCATTATAAATTCAACACACTGCCTTAGATTGCGTGACACTTGCAAAAGAACTTCATCATCACAATCATAACACCTTGAAAATATGAAATTTAATTAACACAACATGTCAACAGACTAGCATTTTAAAACTTTAACACACTTATTTTCTCACGGATTAATTTTGATGCTTCTCCGTTAACAGGGCAGCACTTGCCAAATATGCATTGAAACATGTAGTTCTTGTATACATGATGTCAGAAACAGCAGTGTTGCAAACAAGTGGGAAAAATAACCAGCAATCCAATGAATTTTCATCCTAGATTTTGATCTGCTTTGCATTGAAGTACAGTCATTTGTGCCCAATGCCTGAATTTTTGCAATCCTCTGATTCTATTTTAATCGATAACAGATCGCTGTGTACATCAAGATAGCAACAGTCATTTACTCCATGATCTATTTTTGTTTAAAAAAATCAGAAAATTGAACAAATTCAACATTGTGCACATCCTAAGCATTGTGCATATTAAACAATTTATATATTATATTCATCATGTACAAATTGTTATTCTTTTCATGGAGCTTTATTTATTGCTAGAGTTGCCATTACCTAGTTAGATTTTGTGCTAATGTCTATGTCTGGTGTTAAGTGGCACCCTGTTAACAGAAAAGAACTGAAATTTTCAAAAGGTCAAACTCTAAAGCACAGAAATGCAAGGATGATAAATTATTATACAAAAATACAATATTTTAAATATTATACAAAAAGTATAATTACAGAAATATTTTTAAGCATTTTAAGAAGACATTCTTCCATTAATGAATTGAATGACAACATTATAGAATGCTAACATTTTTTACCATAATTGTTAGCTGACATGTCTATGTCTTTTTTTAAAAAAATTAAGAGGATATGAAGAGTGGCTGCAAAATAAGTTTCCTTACTCACAGCATTCTGTATCTTAATTTAGCAGGATGAAAAGCATCAAACTTGAGGTGTGCATTAATTAAAATACAGGGAAAATATTAATGGGAGGGAGGGAAAAAAAGTCGGTACAGTCAAAAGTTGTTAATCCGGACTCATCGGGACCTCGGCGATTCCATATTATCGCTTTTTCCGGATTATAGATCATCAGTTTAAAATCTGGTAAGATGGCATGCAGAAATTATAAAATTAAAAATATGAAACCATAATTTATGAAATAAAGAACAATTATGATCTAAAGGGTAAAATTTACAAAAAGAAAAAGCTTAATATTTATTTGTTTACTTTATTAAACATTTCCTTCAATGTAAGTTGCTTCGTTTCATGTGATAATATTTTCTTTTTAATTCTATTAAACAGACAAAATTTCTTGTTTAGTTACAAAGTTCCGCTGTTCAAGTCCTATAATTGCTGTGTCAAGAATACCGACTAATTTGTCAATCAAAATTTTTTTGTTTTCAATAATCTCTGTGTCACTTTCTTCACTATTGGAAGCGAATTATAATGATGAGGAACTTGATTTAAATCATATCAAAGACGGAGTACATCAAGATGAAATACTACATTTAGTAAGGAATTAAGCCAAATAAAATAAAAAACATCTGCCTGAAGATAAGGATAGTGCTGACAGATCAACTGCAAATTCATGCGTGCCATGGCATCCCCCCTCTGCAGGCAGCAGAAAATGATAACGCAGATTTGGAATGGTTAGAGAAACAAGGTATGGATAGCATTTTTTGCAGGTTTCCTTTTTTGTTTAATGGACTTCAAAACCTACTTTCGCTTTGTAGATCCTTTACATATAGTAAATATATCTCGGAATTCTATTTGACATAATCGAAAGTTCAAGCGTACTTTTATAAATTGCTCTAACAGTCTGCAAAAAATAATAAGCCAGACCATCGATTAAGGAACACGCAACTGCAACATTAACTGAATTAGATAATTTTAGCTTTGCTTATACCGTCCATTATACATTAAACGCATATGCGTAAACGTATTATGCGCATGTGCACATGCATATTCGCAGCCGTAAAGGTCTTACACGCATGCGTCAACACGACGCATGCGCAGAAAGTTTGTAGCTTTGAGGTCCAGATTATGGGTGTCCAAATGAACAACTTTTGACTGTAATATATATCCATGAAATTGCTAAAAAAGGAACAGTCTCACAATTAAGGTTTAGACAATTTTTATGAACGATGCAGCACTTCTCCATGCTTGCATGGCTGGCACAGTGGTACACCACTTAAGAAACACCGATTAGCATTTGTTAATAATATTTTTGCCAATCTCCCCTCACCCACATTATCAAGAACCTTCCAGCATTGTTTAGTAATATCCTATAAACAGCTTGAAATTTATGTAATGGAAATATGTAATGGACTTTATATGTAATGGAAACTATCTTAAATTATAAGCTAATGAATGCCCAAAACAAAAAAATTGATGATCAGATAAAACCAGTCATGGTGCTCAGTGGGTTATGCCATCACATACAAGAGACCACTGATGACAGAAACTTTTTTTTAACTTATCATGACAAAAAAATTTAATTAATTGCAAAATTCTTGTACTGAATGTTTTAATGAAAAATTGCATCACATTTCACATTTTCATTCTCGATAATTTATTTCACACTTTAACACACAATTCTGCTTTATTTAAATTCATTCTTAAAATCTGGATTGAGGGATCAAAATCAATTCACAGATTTAAAAAAAAAAAAAAAAAAAAGCAATAAATAGTGTAAGATATAGACATACAGGCTGCTTTTAAAATAGATTTTTAATTCATGTTATTTTTTAAGTAATAACAGATTCATTTAATCAAGCAGAAAATGAAATTAAACCACTTCTATCACTTAAAATATTTGGAAATTTTTTCATACTCAAATGATCTTCGCAGCATTTTCTGGTAACTATGTTAACACAGATTTTACTTCAGAGCTTTAAGCTCTAATCTCCAGATTTAATAATTTCCAGATTATTCCTAGAATTTTTGCCTCTTCCCTTATCACATCCCAGTTTAGTTTAGACAGCTCACTGTAAGCCCCTCTAACATTAGTTCCATTATTGGAATAGATTAGTTGTGACTTTCCATATCTGACTATAAATCATCTTAGAGCTAAAAGGAAAGATTCTATCGACATCAATATCACTAGTTCCTGCTGGACAGCCCTGTACACTGTATACGTCAACAAAACTTTAAAAACCTTTTCACTATTTTTTAAACAGGGCCTAGTTAAATCAACTCCTTAATATTTCAAAAACACTGTAATCTTCTACCTGATCTGCAGGAAGAAGAGTCTCTTCACAGGACATTGGTTTCATTTTATACCTTTGAAACATTGTGCACTTTTGCAACTCACTGGGTATAGTTTAATGTTGCTTCAGAATCTAAAATCTGTTAAAATACAGTGCACCATTTAAATGCTGGTGTGACACAATTTCCTATAATCTGATTCTATCTAATAAAAACACAATTACTTAACAACAGAATAGGTGCTAAAAATTCAATGCTCTGGTATTCTCATTTTAACTCTTCTAATCATCAATAAATGTATCAAGTGGGTTAAGAGCTTTAATATCAGGAAAATTTGAGCTTTGACTGAATTAAAACCTTTTCTGAATTTATGATTTCAGCAACACTTAATTCAGACTTCTTAAATAAACTGAATTTTTTCTGAAATTAGAAATAAATCATAATATCCAGCCAATCACATGAATGATATTTTTCATAAACAGATGGTCTTTCTGCATACCAAGGCATGGCAACATTCAAGGCATTAACATTAATAAGTTTTATCTTTCTCTTGTTCAGGTCAGCCTTACTTGGCTGACAAACAATACTGATGGGCCAAAATGCAGGGCTCATTTTCAGCCAAAGGGCCCCTTAACCACTGAGCTTTTCATCTGTTTAGAAGAATAACCCTAGGATAATACATCTGCAGGATTCATGTTAATAGGCACATGCTTTCGTGATTCCGGTTTTGTTAACCCAGTAATTTTTTAACATGATTGGTGATAAAACTGAACCACACCATTATTTCTAATCCACCATAATGGACAGTAAAATAGCACCATAAAGTTGGTTTCACATCAAATACATTAAGAACCTTACAAATAGAAAACACTAATTGGCATTCCATGCAACAGGACATTAATTCGAACCTAGGAATTAACAGATTTTTCAGTGGCACAACTCTTGATATTGCTCTTAAAATATTAATTTTTAATCCACAGGAATCAACACTTCTTGTTAAAACAAATGCTGCATAAGTACTTTTGGATGCATCAACAAAAACATCCAATTCAACTCCAATGTAACGAGATACTACAATTTGGTGTTACAAAAATACATTGGCTAACTGTTTACAATATCAGTGGGGAATACATCTCCTAGGAAAACGTCCCTTTCCAAGTTTCTTGCAAGAACTAAGTTACTGGTGCAAGTATTCCATTTGGATCAAAAATTGCTTGTGTAATAGAAAAACCAGTCTTTTAGCTGAAAAGTCATTAACATCTCAAGGTATCACTCTCCAAATCCCATAACATTCCGAGAAGAAGTGTGTCCCCAAAATGATTTGTAGTGCATTTTACAAGTAACATTATTCTGCAGCCACTAAAATCCTAATATAAAATTTAAAGTTTACATTTCTCATATTTTTTTTCAAATTATACCTGAGTCGCCTTATTTCCTACCCGACAGAAGTTTTCCTTGCCAGTCCCTTGCTCCAGTCTACCCCCAGGATCTCGGAGGCCTCTACTTTCGCCTTCTACTTTCCCTCATCACTCTCGTTGGTCCACCTTCAGAAAACTGCATGCTTCTCTTCTGTTTTTGCATAGACCTTTAGCATTTTGGGGAGGCATGCACTTTCCGCAGTTCGTCGCCTTTTCACTAAGTAGACTCTTCACTTGCACTCACGTGTCTTCTGACCTAAGGCTATGCTTAATTCCTTTTCTACCCTTTCTATATTTCAAATTGCCACTCCCCCATCTATAGTTCACCCCTTTAGTTCTTTGAATTTTTTCTGATGATGCAAGCGATTTTATTTCTTTTTGGTTGCCGTTTTTTGCATTTCCAGGTATTTTAATATCTATCCTTAATTTATTCAAATTATCTCCCCCATGTTTCTTTTTCATTTTAATGTCTCAAAACTGTCCCAACGTCAAGCCCCATAAATTTTTTAATGTCATTTCGGGGTTTATCCCTTTGAATGCAGTAAACCAGATCCCTAAACTTCCTTAATTATTATGACCCCTCACAATTTCTTTCTTCCAAAATGAGTCATTACCCCCAATGCTACTCTTCTGCCTGTCATGGGCATCTGCAGATTTTCTATCTGAAGACAACATTAAGTGTTATTTGTCTCCATGTCAACAACACTTTGGGCTGTTATTTTTTTTCCAAACAATTGTAATTCTTTCCTGCTGAATAGGAACAGCTTTCATTCCTCTCATATTTTTCACACAGGACCACTTAAACAAATCCAAAGCATCCTGATTCTGTATCCTCCGGTGTAATTATCTAGGCATTTTATTTGACAACGTTAAATATTTGACAATACACTATTTTCTACTTGCAAAACCTGGGTGTATGTGTGTTTAGGTGTCTTTAACTAAAACCATTTTATTTACATATTATATTAAAGAAATCACTTTTAATTTATTCATGTAAAATAATAAAGAAGGAAGGAAAAAATTTTATGCATAACAGAGTGATATATGCAAAATACTAATAAGAAATATTTGCAGTTATCATATATATTACAAGAAAAAAATCCTTTATTGGTTTATTTTTATGAAATACGCACTTGTTATGAGTAAGTTATGATTCACAAATGGAGAAAAGTATGCTTATACATATTATTCGACAGGGATTATCATTATATCCCAAACACAGCAGCCCAGTTCATGCATATTGAACATTCATCTAATTTAATGTTTTTTTAAATAAAATACAGCTCCTGTTTAGTTAGTCTTTTAGATGCTTAGATTTCGCCAATTGTTATTTCCATGGTACCTGAGTAGTTAACGGAAGGCCCTCAATGCGAGATTGGTTAGTGATTGTTGATTTGACTGAGGAAAAATATCAATCCTTATTTCTGCGCTGGAAGTCAGTTAGGAATGTACTTTTTTATGCTTTAAGTAAAATGGCAAATGTATATACGAAGTTCTGTATGAAGGAGTGAAGAAGAAAAACAAGTACTTAGTTGACTGTGTGTAAAGTCAACAAACCCTGTTGTATGAAAGGAAATGCATATGGTCAAATGTAAAGATGGCTTTGAAATTTGTCCAAGTTCATGCAAGAAATACTGACAGTCCAGCACTATGGAGGATTTTTTGACTCTCCAATTTATGTGGTGACGGCAATATGCATATTGTAGTTCAGAATTAGAGATGCTGTAAAGAATTTGTGTCATAAGACGCCTATATAACATATTTAGAAATCGACTTAAAAAAGTCGATATTTCCTTTTTGTAGTATGTCTATGCGATAACAGGCATTTCCTTTTTTATGTTATTTGTGTTATTTAAAATGCAGTTTATTAAGCTTCAATTGGCTACAAATTTTGTTCAATTCTGGTGATGAGTAACTTTGTTTTAACATTACATGATGTCATCATTCTCCTGATTTTTTAAAGTGAAAATAGATTGATGTATACATGGACAAAGTCAAGGGAGTGCGCAATGCCGAGTTTGTGCAATTCTCTGATTTTTTTTTTAAGTGAAAATAGATTGATGTGTACATGGACATCGAGTTTGTGCAATTCTTTGACTTGTTATTTTGGTTTTGGGTAGTAGCCATCTTAAAATTGTACCTTACTAGCTAATCGCCAAAAATCGCCAATTTTCGCCATGGGGTACCTTGAAATACATATTTATCTAGAATTCTTTTATATTACTTAAATCAACGACAAATATGTAAATAAATTACTGAGCTTCATTTTACTCGGTTGCTTTAATTTTGCAATCCGGATAAATGGAATTTTACCATATTTTGTTCAAAGTTACAATATTTCGAAACATACCATACAACTCCTGAGGATGAGCTTAATACTAAAGAATGGCAATCTGAATGAATAGTTCTGAAGTGTTGGAGACCATGTTTGTTTGATGACATTCGTCCACATCCTCGATATCCACACTGTAGACATAACCACACTTCAGGAGGATCATCTTTATTAGCAGCATCACAGCCCTTAAAAAAATAAAAAAAAATATTTAAAAAAAAAAAAAAATTGCCAAATAAACTCACAAGTGGCAGGTAAAAGAAGCTCAAAATAAATGACAAACTTAAAACACAGGAAGAAAATCATATAGACTAAAGAATACATACACTGCAAACATTTATATTCTCAGATGCCTTTAAACTCTTTTTAATTCGACCAAAATTAATTCCTCTAGAAATATGTGGACAGCATTTACCTAGAATACGTGAAAACAAAAATATCTAAGAATTACATTTCTCTTTTTTTTTACATATGACTATTATTTGATTTGAAATTATTATGATGAAAAAAATGTATTAAATTAAACAAAGAAGCTATAAATAAAGATTTTAAATGAAGTACAAATGGCAATGCACATTCAAAATACAAAATAAAAATACATTTTAATGGACAGATTAAAAATGTCAAAAATAAGACTTTATAAGATTTTAGTGTACACCCTTCCAATTTGGAAGAGTAGGTAAAGAAATATTTTCTTTGGCAACTTGATGGTATAACAGTATGAGTAATATATTAAAAAAATATACCAGATTTTATGAGAAAATATTTTTTTCTAGTATATGTAATAACTTTATGTTCAATTTTTACCACTATATTATTATCCAGTGAGGTTAATACAAATTGTACAAAGTCTTATTTAGAAAAATATGGAGATAATTTAGCTAATTTTCTCATATTACTTAGTCAATTGAAAATTTCTCATAAGACATTAGTAATAAGTTCAAATTTTTTTTTTATTAAATGTCTAAGAAGAAAATATTTTAGACATTTATGTGAGATGTTTATTCTGAAATTATCTTATTAATATCAATAATAGAATCAAGTGATTTAAAATTTATGTTACCACATTTCTTTGATTCTAAAATGCTACTGAATAAGAGGCATACTTTTTAATTTCAATACTCCTAATACAATAAAAAAACTTGAATGCTCAACCTCCCCCCTCAAAAAAAAAAAAAAAAAAAAAAAAGAGAGAGAGAGAGAGGAGAGGAAGCACTTCCGGAGAGAACCCGGTGAATGTAAACATTGCCAAATTTGGCGATAATAGTTAAAATCTGGTAACCCAGCGGATTCAACCTATCCGCTTGTTGCAACCATTCATCTTGCGTCCATTTGTTCCGTTATCACTGTGGTTCTTCCCCTTTGCAGATTTCTTATTCTTCTTTTATTTATTACTTTTTTTCTTAATTTTTTAACAACGAATAGATAGAAATATTTTCGTAGATCCCGTTCTCGGTTCGGGATCAAAGGAAGAAAATATGGCGGGAGGGGTGAATGCTAATTTGCAACACGGCTGATCACGTTGTGTTCTTAATTACTAACGGCTGTAAGCACGCAGAACCATAAGGTTTCCAACCCCTAAAATAATTTGTTTTCGTAGGTAGCAAAAATGTTCATGTGCATTTTAAATAATTAAGTAATGCTTTTATTTTTATTACTGGTACTACTAAAATTACTACTAAAATTGGTTTTTACTACTAAAATTTATCTAAAATTAGAAAATAAATTAATTTTTATGGCATAAAATTTTAACAAGCTACTATATTGTTAATGCTTTTCTAACAATAACCTTTCAGAGGAAGACACATTTCTGCACACAGAAATTAAGGACCATTAATGAAAAAAATTCAGGACCTTGAGTAAATGCGAACTGAATAAATTCATAAAAAATTTAGCAATGCCTGCATTTCACATTTGTAATACCATCCTAAAAAAAAATAGATCCATAAGTAGTATGTATTATTACTAAACATGAATTAACATGATTATTAATAAATTTGAAAATGAAATAAACTTTAAGTAATTGATCAAGTAGCATTAAATATTTTACTCTTATAATAGTTGGGCATATTTGAAAGAAGTGACATTTACATTTTACTAACTTTATGTAACTTTTTTTTATGTCTCATAATGTCACATACTTGGTCAGGCTAGCGGTTTAGGGTTTAGTAAGTAGCAGGTTGATTTTATGTCAAATGGCATAGGTTAAAATGAGAAGTATCATAATCAGCATAATTCATAACAAAAGTTAATAATTTAATAATTAATTTCTGTTTAAATTTAACACCAATTTATTTCCGTATATCACGTTTAACCTGTTAGTTTTACATCTACATGCTTATTATCTGTGAATTTTTACTACCATATGCTTAATATATTGTTTAGTCTGCTAACTAGAATTTACATGCACTAAAAATCACGTTTACGGCTCGCCTCATCGTCGATGAAACGCGAGCTTGGCGAGTAAAAATGGAACGACGCCAACGGGTTCTCTGCGGATGAAAACCCAAAAAAAAAAATACAAAATTAATTGCATCTAGCATATACTACATATTTTTCATATTCGCTAGCAATTATATTAAAGTACAGAATAATCAATAAGGAACAGAATAGTTATTTAATTTACTAAATTAAATTAATGCAACATACAATTTATGTGTTTAATATTTATTGCATGTAAATATGGTATGTTTTAGTTGGCATGCTGAGTGGCAAACAGCATTATTTTGACATGCTACTACTACTAGAAGGTTACCAGTTCTTATAGTTTTAAAGGGTTATAAAAATTTTATCACAAGAATTATTTTAAATGTTACATGTAAATGAACAAAAAAACCATTTCTGAAACAATTTCTCATAAGCCATGTTCTTATTCATCAGCAAGATGCTGTTCTCATATTAAAGTAACCATCGCTCACTAAAATAAATTCTGTTCCAAATGCATTTTAGTTTATTAAGCTGCTGAGTTTAAAAGACTGTGATCTGTATATTGTCTATTGTGATATTTTTTTAGCATTTAAGTAAAATAATAATTAATGACTAATCCAATAATTAACCCAAATATAACTATTGAAGCAAAGCAATAAATATAATACAGATATTCCATTTTAAGAGTAGCTATGACAGGCATTTGATGATTAAAATAGGTAAAACTTCTGTTAACTTTAATTCTGTTTTTAAAAGATACAGAATCATAAGGTTTATAATAAACTTTAGTACATTAACAGCTAAAATACTGCTGAGGTACTTATATACCAAAGCCTTCTTTCACTATCTAAAAAGAATAAAAATATTAAGATGATCTAACTATCAATTGATTTATAGTTAGGCATAACAATAGAACTAATGCACACCATCGTCAGTATAGATAAAAAACTTTAATCATCCAATAATTTATAAAAAAATTCTGCAACTTCCTATTACTCTTATCTAGGCATGATTATAAGCTGTAAGGAGTCATGATTTTAAGTTTGAGAAGCACTAAATTTTAGATTACTTTAATTTTACAATACAGGTTACCCATAATTGTTAGTGATTTATTATAAAAAATATAGGATAGATAACTACATCACTACTTTTCTTTTCTTCATGTACACAGTGATATGTTTTCACTTTAAAAAAAAACAGACAATTGCACAAATTAAAATTATACACTACAGAGTTCCAAGATCTGGAACTGTCAGTACTTAAATGACTTTGGATTTTAGATCATCAGTTTAAATCTAGTAAGAGGACATGTACATCCAGCAATACAAACACCATATGCAATTTCGAGGAATGACACACTGAAACAGTGTCAAGCAGGGTCTTACTGCATATACATAATAGATTAAAAAGTTGATTATGTAGACATTTCCTTGAAGCATCTACAGATCTATGGTGAAAAACAAACTTGGAAATCATGTAGCTGGAATAAGAAGCAATCCCGGCAATTTTAAATATGAGCCTAACACTGGTGGGATTTTGGCAATTCTAGATTTTTGATCATTAGTTTAAATCTTTTAAGATGATATGTAGACATGGCAACATTAGGGCTTTGCTTATTGTTTACATCAGATAGATGAATACTAAACCCCCAACAAGCCCAGAAAACATTTAAGAAATTACAGAAGGACAAACAGAAGCATTAAAAATTACAGATGGCTAAATTTTTAGAATTTGGGGAGTACCACCCAGTAGAACTTAGGATCTTAGAGACTGCATTGAGTGGCAAAATGTGTAGTGCTAGTACTACTCCGCCCAACTACTAACAACAGAAAGTGCAGTCTTGACCAATATCAATCTAATGTTAATCAGTGTATTGTTACTGGCAATGATGCAACTCCATGGCAAGCAGGGTGTTTGAAAGTGGCATTTGGAATCTCTACTCTGGAGAAAAATCAAATTTATGGCACACCTGCTGCCCTTTATTGAATATTATATTCGCCACTCCTAGATTTTGTAAGGAGGAATAATTTTGTTTATTATTTAATTAACTAATTTATTTTTTGGTTGGTGCTTCTAAGGTTTGGAGATTGGATATCCAGCTTCTGGACTGTGTATTATATACACTAGCCACTTGAGCAGTCAGCCACCTAAAACCATTATTATAAAAAGGAAAAAATATATAATGATTTTAATCAATTAACGTAATTTTATGGGTCCAGCTTATAATTAATAAAAAGAGATGAAGAACAGTGTTTATTATTTTTAAATTGCTTAGTTTGTTAATCAATGTCAGACAGATTAAATTCGGAAGAAAAATATCTAGCGCTTTCCTGAATGGCAACAAACTAGCACATAGGAGATAAAAAATATTTTATTTCAAGCAATGGCAAATTTTTTTAAAATTGCTTAGTTTTCTGATTAGATTTGAAACATACATATCTCATGCTTTATCGAAAAGGCAAAACATTGTTTTTAAATCTCCAAGTTTGTTAATTATAATTTGATTAAATTCACACAAAACATAAAGAAAATTCAAAATTCAGTCTTAGAAGTGCAGATGTTCAAATGCAGGACTAAGCGTGTTCACAATATGGTGTTTCTAGGTGTCACCATTTTTCTGCTTTGTAAGGAACATACAAACAGAGTCTTTATTATTTAATAACAGAAATTATATGATACAAGAACATTACTGTTATTACAAGTTTACTGTTACTGCTGTATTACAAAAATCCAATTTTGGTGACTGTGTTAACAAGGGAGTACTAAAACCAACTATGACCTCACTTCATCATTAAAAGTTAAAATTTCTCATGCTATTCAATCATTTATTGAAACTTGGAAATTGAAAATATTTTGTCTTCTGCTTAAGGATTATTGATTTGCATATAGTACACATCCTAATTTAAGTATGTTCCTTCAAATGTATTTAAAAAAATTAGTTAAGACATTAAGGAATTTAACTTACAAGGTGGGAAGCACATGGAATTTTATCTTTAACTGTTAAATCCACTGTAAATATATAATTACAAAGAATTTTTTTTTTTTTAACAAAGAATCTTTCACATTGTAATAATTGGAATTTTCAACTCGCATGCTTTTTCCACTGATCTATTGCAACTCATTGTGAACATTTATTTCACATATGCTAGGCTCATTTCATTTCAGATTATCCATGCTTACAAAATACTTAGCCATTTGTAATGAGACGTATTTGATAAAAGCTGTTACCTGCATTTCATTTGAAATTTTCATTGGATATATTTTATGTACTTTGAACAATAGCATACAAATTACTATCTTAGCTTAAGACATTATTAACAATGAAAATATATTTAGATACAAAACAACCTTACTTTTCATAGAATACAATCTAGTATGATGCAGAACAATTTAAAATACCCTTCCTTTTAAATGGCTTGAATACAGTATTGATATCTGTCCTCCTTTTTATATAAAGAATGAATGACATTTCTATCATTTACAAACACCCAATACTTTTATGTACTAAATGTCAAATATTATGATATGTTGTATGCATTTTCTTTTTTAGCCAAAGTAATTTAAGGTTTTACAAAACTAAATAACAGTTACAGAAGAATCCTGATAAATCATGGTAATACACACCAGGAATAAAAACAACAATTAAACTGCTAGTAACATAATACATAAAAAACAGGAACATATTACAATTAACAGAAATAATATTATTAACAATTTACCTGTATTTTTAAACCAGTTTAATTTGGTGAGAAAAATTAAGTCAGCATTTCAAAACAAGAACACACATCTGTAGTACTTTAATTTACATTACTCTTGTATTTTGATAAGAGTCAATAGGAGATAGAAGATATACACTTTATTTTTAAGAATTAGAAATTTATTTTTAACAGATGATTTTACAATGTTTATGTATTCCAGATTATGCACAGTTAAATTAGACATTATTGTGGGTAAAAACAGTTTCCTAATGACATTGTCTGCTATCACTGTTGTTAGCTAAAGCATTTTCTTCTTTTCTTCTCCTTTTCATATTTCCTGCAAAAGTTTTCTTTATCCTGATGGTTTGTGATAATAATATTCTTACTGTTTCATTATAAATAAACACCTTGTATCTCTCTTTATTTTAAAAGGTCAAGACCCAGCTAATCTTGGATAGCTTGTTTGACCAAATGTTGACTGTACTCGATTAAAAAAAAAAGAAAAAATCTGCATAATCAAATTACCTTGTTTGATGCCATCATTTAGTTCTTCTTCAGAAGTATCAGCAAAAGAAACATCCTTCTGATGTTTCTGACGACTATTTTTTTTCTTAGCCATGATTCTTTGCTCTAAACAAATGAAATTTCAAAATTTTCAAAATGTGCTGGTTTTTTACATTTATAGAAATTTATAAATCTTTAAAAAAAAGTAATAATAATTACTGAATTTATGCATTATTTTGCTAATCATTAGCAGAAATTTCTTGACTCTAATGAGCCCCTTGAAAATGGTGCACACACTAAAGAAATTTAGTCAATATAAAACAAATACAGCACTGGAGATGGTCACATCATACACTGGGCAGTAGAAAGAATCTACTGTAGTGCATGAAGAAATGGCATAATTTGCTAGCTATCTGCCTAAACTTGGAGCACTAATTTTTTCTTTTAATGTATAATGTATTCAATATGTATTTATTTAATGAAAGTTTGACACAAAATCATGACAACTCTAACAATTTCAAGGCTGAACAGGTACTGGTCCTTCTTCATCAGGAACAAAGAAATCCGCAACAAAGGGAAAACCATGGTTGCTTTGATATCCTACAAGAGTAAGGCAAATGAAAACGTAGTGCCATCTGTTGGCAGAAATAGCAATGAAACTTTAAAAATTAAGCTAAAAGAATTTTAAATGCATTAGGAAGGACTAGGCTGGACTTTATCAAGTCATTAACTAGATCAATCTTTATGAATGTGAAGAGGGACATGTACTTCTTTGCCCTCAAAATCGATAGAGTTCTCGACTAAATCTACACTGAACACAAGGTTGTTGCTTTGGTGATTTTATGTTTTACTTTGGTGTGTTTCTCTTCTGTTTTAAGTCCATGCAAATTTTTTGGAAATTTTAACACTTGTCTTAAATACTACATTTCTTCCAATTACATATATTTTAATTTCCTTGTTACAGTGTAATAGAACTATACTTACCTGTGTTATTAGCTAAAAGTTTCACAATATTTCTAAAATTTACTGAACATGTTATATTACAAGAAAAAGAAAAGTTTTTTGGTACTTTTCCGTTTCGTCAGCACAAATTTCGCCAAGCAGACTTTATTGGTGGCAACATACAGTATACACATAAAAAATGTTAACAAATGTTAGTTAGCAAACATTCATATGTAAATGCTTCTGACTTCCTTATGCTTTTATTTTTTTTTCTGGCTATTAAGAAAATGAGTAATAAATGATGTCTCAAGTTCTTTAATCGTCTGTTGTCAATTCTAGAGTAATTTTTAATCACTTCTTGTTCAACTGATATATTTAAAGTATTCAAACACAGGAAGTAATCCAAAATAACCTGAATTAAAAATGTTATATATGAAATCAGAAAACAGTCTTTAGTCCTACAAAAGTTTCTTTCGGCAAATTTGTCCATAACTTGCTACAGTACAAAGTCCGAGATCCAGACGTCCAACATTAAACACCTTTCTATATAGAACAACAATAAAATGCTAAAAAATTAAAAAATAACGAAAATTAAACTCATTTTCGTAATTTACATATTATATTATTTTATTACTATAACTGATATTTTGTTATGACTACAAAGCACAGTGTAAAAGTAAATTTTTAGATTAGAGACAGATTCCAGAGAACAGGAAATTGTCTGCTGAGAATATTGGCATTTTCTTTTCTTAACTAATTTGACAAAATGGTATCAAATATCACTTGAGATTCTTCTATGCAGTAGGGTCAACATTTTGTTCTGTCACCTTGAAAAAATACATTAGATGGGAAAATTTATGTTCATAACGATACACTAATTCTAAAGAAGATAAAAGAGAAATTCACAGCTGACTGAATGATGTTAGCCAAATAAGTAAATAAATAAAAATATAATTTATTATTTTAAATAAATGTTATAATAATATTGTATTAAAAAGGTAAATACATAGCTAATATACCTAGCTATATTATGACACAGTATTCGAAGAATCGAAATGAAACTCGAAGGAAGAACTCCGAAGAAGTGAAAAGAACAAATAATCAAGACTCCGCAGGATCCAGATTTGCGGCTAGAGAAGGAGCGATGAAAAGAGTGAATAATGAAGATTCCGTAGGAATCAGTTCTGTGGCTAGAGAAGGAGCGATAAAAAGAGAGAATAATGGTCCCAAGGACCCAGATACTGAGCACTGGAGCTCCTTCCTAGAAATGAATATTTTTAAATCAATGAAATTATATAAAAAAGGAAATTCATCTTAGCACTACAGTAAGGAAATATCCACTTACCGAATTTACGCGTCTTCAGTTAAACAAAATTCCTTAACAGCATCCAAACACTTCCTAAAATTATCTGAACTAGAATCTGTATACTGATGTTGCCTCATAAATTCACAAAAATAAGAGTAAAAATTATCCTCCGTTCGACCATGCGCATTTCCTTCCTCTCAACAAGACACTTAATAGTGACTACTAAGTAAACCTTCATTTACACACCACTCAATTAATGCTTTTTCTTTCGTTCCAAATCCTACAGAAACTTCAAATTAATCTTACTACACTCAGCCAATTTACTGTGTAAACCACAAAATAATTACGTAGTTATCCAACACACACCTTACCCAAAATCTGACACACACTTTCCAAATTTTTTCCCATGATTCAAATTCACCGCAACCAATTACGTCATAATAGGTTTCCATAGCATTCAACTACTCAGGTTGTCATCAATGAGACAACGATTCGCGGATAAATGAAACAACAACTTCCCAATAATACAAGGGGTACCTTAAAGTCTACCCTAACCGTTATTCATTGCGACGACAATGCCCCAATCATCAATCAATTAACGAATGGCGAAATGTGTAGTATGGTTCTAGATCCAGAAATTACCACTTCTGATAGTGAAGAAAGTGACAGAGAGGTTATTGAAAACAAAAAAATTTTGATTGACAAGTTAGTCGGTTTCGACACAACATTACAGGATTGAATAGTGGAATTTGCAACTGAAGAAGAAATTATGTCTGTTTATCAGAAAGTATTAGCACAAAAAAAAGAAACTTAAACAACTACATTGAAAGAAAATGTTTAATAAAGTACAAAAATACTACGCTTTTTTTTCGTGTGTGTGTAAATTTGTACCTTTAGATCATAATTGCTTTTATTTATAAATTACGGTTTCATATTTTTAATTGTATAATTTGCATGCCATCTTACCATATTTAAATTGATGATCTATAATCCGGAAAAAACCCTAATCCGAAAACGCTGAAGTCCCGATGAGTCCGGATTACGGACTTTGTATTGTATTTAATAGATGAAGGTAACAAACAAAGGTTAAAAAAAATGGCCCTTTGGACGTAATTTAAAATCTGAAACCTTTCAGATTTTCTTTTTCTTTTTGGAATATACAGATTGATTCTTTATTTAGTCATACCTTCATACAGTTTCCAGTTCCTTCATCAAGTTATGAACTTCATCAGATTTTCAATATCCCTCTCCTTACACGTCAGTCCGCATTTCTAACAACAGTAATAATCTTAATTAGTAAGCAGCGACGATATTAAAGGGAGACTGCTTATAGTTGACACTTAAAATGAAGCATTATTAAAATAATAAGAAGAAAAACCAAAAAATTACATTTTATCTTTTAATTTGTCTAAATATGAAAACATTTTGCGATTTTTTAAAACCCACACTCAAACATATTTGTTGAAGAATTATACATATATTTAAGTTATAAAAGCTGCCTAGTTGGTATAGTGGTTAGAGTTGCTGACTGCCGTGCCGAAGGGCAAGGGTTTGAATTATGGAGAAGGCATGGATGTTTGTAAATGTATAGTGTCTGTGCGGCATGGGGGCACTCTAAATATCAAGTGAGCCGAAAGTCCTCTCGAGAGGTTGGTGGTAGAAGAAGAGGGATACAAGATGCTCAGACACGTTTCCCCCTGGTGCTCACCATCAAAACTGGAAGCAAAACTGAGCTAAATCGTACTGTCACCTGTAAGATGCTCAAGGCTGTTGCGAATGGCAGAGCTCCTTGCCACAAGGAATTTCGTGGGCCTGGGCTGACTGTAGGCCAGACAAGTCAACATTAGTCAACAACAACAAAAAAATGTTATAC